AGGACTAAAATTGGGCACCCAAACATAATAGGGACTATATTTATTTGTTTTAAGGACTAAAATTGGGCACGGAAACATAACAGGGACTATATTTTTTGTTGTAAGGACTAAAATTGGGCACCAAAACATAATAGGGACTACATTTTTTGTTTTAAGGACTAAAATTGGGCACCAAAACATAATAGGGACTACATTTTTTTGTTTTAAGGACTAAAATTGGGCAGCAAAAAATAATGGGGACTCAGTCTGGATACCCCTAAACATGGAGGACCAAAAGTGAACTTTGTCCTTTCAGAATTATGACGAGTTTTGGGCTGAATGCTAGGATTTTGGTCCGAGAGTATTTCGCCTTCATTTATAATTTATTATTATTTTTTTTTTTGGTATTTAATGCAAATAAATTTATAAGTTTTTAAATATATTAATTTGAGTAAAATGCATTTTTCGTCGTCCTGTATGTTTACTCCTCCAAACATTTTAGTCCTCTTCGAATTGCGTTTTTGATTTTCGTCCCGTATGTTTGAAAAAAGGTTACAAAAAGGTCTTTTTCATACATAAGGGATGAAATTGGAACACTTTATTGCAAAACATAAAGGACATTTTTATTGCGAAAAGGACCTTTCTGTAACTTTTTTTCAAACATACGGGACAAAAATAAAAAACGCAATTCGAATAGGACTAAAATGTTTAGAGGGGTAAACATACAGGACGAAAAATGTATTTTACTCTATTAATTTATGGCTAGTTTGTAAATAATTTAGAATATTATTTTTGAAAAAAAAAAGTGATAAACGTGTTAAAGAGTATTGTTCAAAAGTATTTGGAAAAAATTGAGAGGAAATTGCTCCTTTACTAGTATATATCTCTTTATTTGTTACAAAGTTTTTTATTTTTATTTGTAAATATATACTAATATTTACAAGTTACGAATACTAACTTTGTGGTTTAATTTTTTTATTAATTTATTTGATTTATTGGTCCCGTTTGGAAGATAGCGGATTGAGAATAAATTAGCGGATTGGACTTATTTGAGTGGTTTGACTCGTCAAATCCGCTATTGGACTTGTTTGCTAAATAGCTTATTTGATAAGCTTTTTAGGCTCAAAACTCTAATTTAGAAAAAGCTCATTAGAGAAGCTTTTTGGGGACAGAGGATTCACAATCTACAATTTTAATTTAAAATTTTTAATTTTTATTATTTATTTTACAATCTTTATTGGTTTATGATGCTAACAAATAATAATATGTCATCCAGATAATTAATTTATCTAGAAAAATGTAATATTCATAACTTCTTAATTAAGTGTTAGTAGATTTAATAAAAAAATATATATTTATAAATTACCAATTAAAAAATATTAAATGTTTTAATATATTATTATTAAAAGAATACACCCTAAATAATAAAATGTCCTTATTGGTAATTT